GTAGGCCAGCTCTGCTCCCCTCCGTTTCCATTCCTCCAAGAACAGGGTTGACCAGACCACGTTGAAGAGGGCAAAAACCACACACGATACATCCCGGCTTGTCTGGGGATGGTGGAAGGCTGAGCTGTTGGTCAGGTTGGCCCAGGGAGGAGGGTGTCTCAGGCACTCCAGTCCCAGTCCAGCCCACCCCCAGCACCTGGTCAGCCTCCGTAAATGTGTACAGGACGGAGCCAAAGACGGCTGGGTATACCATCGCTGATGTGTAGAAGCCCAGCCAGGCAAAGTACATGGCAATCTTCACTCCAAAGTAGTCACAGATCTCATCTGCCAGGAGCACAGGGCGGGGTCCGGTCAGCCCTGCCCACTTCCTGAGACTCCCACACACCCACGACCTGGGGCTGCACCTAGAGGCTGGTTTTCACACACAGCTTGCACCCATGACTTCATGAGGCGGTTCAGGATACGCTGCTCGTGGACCGGGAACACCTGCTGGATGATCCCACGGGCCGCCAGCTCAGGGACTGTTGGGGGACAAGAACAGTTGAGCCCCACCCTTCTGCCTGGGCCTGGCCTGGCCAGTTCCCCACTCTCAGCCCCCGCCCTGGCCGAAACCCAAGTCACAGTTTTTCCCTGCTTTTCAATCTTCAGAGGCTCTTTCCAGGGGAGGAATTTTAAGTGGGCAGGATATCTGGTTCTCCTTCAGAACTTCGGAGGTGCAGAGGCAGGTAGGAAGGGGTGCAGGAAACCACCTGGGAGGGTGGGGTCCCAGTGTGGAACCTCGTTTTTAAATAAAGCCATTTGGCCTCAGTTCACTGCTCTGAACCTCTGAGGAATGGTGCAAAGCTGGCGTCAGAAGGTGAACTTGCAGCAGCTGGTCTCTTGGAGAGGAAACTGAGGCCCAGGGCCTCACCACACAGGGCATGGAGTGCTGTCCATGGTCCTGCCCCTACCTAATCCCAGACCCAGACAACGATTTCTCTTGGAAGGGCTTCCGGGGCGTAAGCCCCACCCCTAGGCTAAGGCCACACCCCCCTCACCTCATTGATTGATGTCTCCAGGTCCCACCCAACTCTTCCCTAGCTTTTTTGGTCGGTTGTCTCTAGGCTCCACCCTCTCGCACTGATAGGCTGTATTCTAAGAGCCCCACCCAACTCCCCACGTGTGATTGGAGATTGGTCCCGCCTGCTTACTGATTGGCTGGTCCTCCAGGAAGCGCACATTGTGCAGTGCCTCACCCTGCTTCGCGCGTAGGTTCTGCAGCCAAAAGCGGATGATGCTCTGGCGTTCCTGCGGGGGACAGGTTAGGGCTTGAGCACAGGGAGCAGCAGCCCAAGCGCTAGGGGTGCGGACTGGGAGCCTGAGCTGGTCGCACCTGGGAGGTGAAGAAGCGCAGCTCACTCTCCACATTCTCGTAGATGAAGTCCTCCTCGCAAGAGAAGCCTCGGGTGCCCCCGCCAAACTCGGCCTTCACCGCTTTGCGCAAACCCAGCTCATCGGCTCCTCGAAGTAGGCTGCCAGGAAGACACGGAGGTGGGTCATGGGGAGACCCTGGTTCACCATCCTGGAGCTAGGGAAGGTGTACTCGGCGGCCACCTGGGACAAACGCAGGGCGCTACACCTCACAATTGATGCTTGGAAAGGCGGGGAGCTGGGTAGCAGGGTCAGTGAGAGTCCAGGGACAGAGACTCGCCTCTCATACGTGGCGGTGACGAAGAAGGCATAGGCACGCGTGTGGCGGTGGTGGCGGACTTGCACGATGAGCTCAGGGATGCCCACGCGGATGTGGTTCAGCAGCCATAGCAGCGTGTGGTCATCAGTCGTGTCTGCCAAGGGGCACAGGGACTGATGGCCCTTGCCACAAGAGGTCCGAGGCCTCTTACAGACTCCTACTCAGGGGAGCCTAGCTCAAGGGAGCCCATCTGGGCACTGGGCAGGCGGCAGGCACAGGTACCTGGAAAGGTCATCAGTACGTCGCAGTTCTCCGTAGGCACTGTCTTCATCCACGCCTTGTGGGATACCAGGTAGCGACCAGCCTGCAGGAGCCGCTTCCCAAAAAGCTTATCTAGGGGGTTAGGCAGGGCAGGGCCCAGGTCAGGCCGCTCCCAGACCAAGACCTCAGCCTCTAGTGTAGTCCCTCCAGTCCTAACCCCTGCTCGCACGCACACTCGCCACGGCTCCTCTGCACTGAGTCTGGCATCTAGGGACCTGCAAGGTTTGGCCTCAGCTTGTTTCCTTCCCTCCACGTCCTTGCACCAGCCAGGCCCTCCTCCAGGAATGCCCTTCCCCCAGGTCCTCCCTTACAAATCTTACTCATTCTTGTGGTCCAGCTCCGCCTCCAAACCCACAATCGATGGGGCGCTCACTAGCAGCCCTGAGCGAGCGAGCGCTTCACCACATCATGTCAGCGCGTCCTCATAGCTGGGCGCGGTTCTTACCCCCATTTCACAGGTGAGGAAACTGAGAACCAGGGCGTTTAAGTCACGCACCCAAGGTCACACAGGCGAGCTGGGATTCGAACCCGGGACCGTATGATTCCGTATCCTCTGCGGAGAGGCTCTCTCACGCGCATCCCTGCCGGGCTGCGATCCGGTAACCCAAAGGGGTGACTGAGCTCAGCCCCGAGCCGGGGCTCTCGGAGGGGCGTGTCCAAGTCTCTGCGCTGGGACCCCCGCCCCCTGTACCGTCCCGGCCGCGCTGGCCCCGCCGCAGCCGCAGTGCCAGGAGAAGCCGGCCCCTCGACTGGACTCCAGGCCGGGACGGCTGAGCCCAATCCCACTCCGCGTCCAACCGCCGCGCGCACCACAGGCACCTGCAACCCTGTCAGATCCAGCCGCCGCACACATACCCAGAACTCCAGACGCCGGGGCTGCAGGCTCGCCCTCAGGCGGGGGCCTCTTGCCACGCTCGCCCTCCAGGGACGTGCCCCCGGCGCTGGAGGTGGCTTCGGCCATGGCGAGCGCAGGCCAGGTCAGGGGCTGCGGGCGGCCCGAGCGCCTGGGGGCCGCGGGCTCATCGGGCCGGTGCAGCCGCGGAGCGAGCTGGAGGTGGAGACAAAGGCCGCGCCCGCCCGCGCCGGCCGCCGTCCCCGCGTGCCCGAGCGCTGCTTCTAGTCTCCGCCCGCGCGGAACCTCGATTCTCCTTCTCGTCCCCGCGCACGTCGCTCTTGGGTTTTCGACTCCGCCCGTGTTGTTTTCTAGATTCCGTTCTCGCCCGCCCACTTCGCTTTCTGCTGCTCGTCTCCGCCCGCATCGAAGATGCAGTCACCAAGGATGTGTCCCCGCCCACGTCGAATTCTGGGTCTCGTCCCCGCCCGTCCCGGGACTGGATCCTCCGCCTTCCAGCCTTAGTTTTCCCCATCTACAAAGGCGCGGTTTGGAATCTTGCGTTGGGCGTGATTTGACGAGGGCAGGACGTGGGAGGGGGCGGGCCTGATTGGGGGAGATTCCAGGTAGCAATAACTTCACAGCTAGAATACAAATTAATAAATAAAGCACGTCCAGCCTCAGGGCCTTAGCATGTGCACTCCTCACGCCCTCTCCGTCCAGTTAACCCCTGCTCCCCTCAGGATGTAACCTCCTCAGAGAGGACCCCATAGAGCTTCAAAGTTTAGCAAATAAAAGTACAGCCCTCCCACTGTATGAATGAATTTCAGACAAACGAATACACTTTTGGGATGTCCCAAATATTACATGGGACATAGTTACACCAAAACCTTATTTATTGTGTATCCGAAATTCACATTTAACTGGGCGTTCTGTATTTTATCTGCACCCAGACCCCTGACCGTCCTGAGTAGCCTTTCTGTTAGACTGAGAGCCCAGAGAGGCCAGGAGCCCCTTCTGGTTCTTAGCGCACACAGTAGGCACCTGATGTATACTTATGACAGATGGAACAATTCGGAGAAGGCGAGTTTTCGCGTCTGTCACTCTCTGACAAATGAAAAAGTTGAGCGGGTCGAGGCAGGGATTAGAACTCCGGCGGGTCCGACAGATTCTTCCCCAAGCGCAAGTGCGTCGCCCGCCCGCTCCGTCCAAGAACCAGAGAATTGTCCGTGCGAAAGCGCCCGCGGAGACCCCGCCCAGCCAGTGTCTGGAATTCCACCATCAGCGCTTTATTCCGCTTTTCTGCGCTGTCCTGGGTTAACCTGAAAGAAATCCCTGAGACTCCCCTTTCTGGCTTTCGGGGAGCCAGAGACAGACCGGACACTCAGCTCTGCAGGAGCAGGCCTGGGCCAGGAAAGGCCAGAGGGCAGAGAGGGCTGTACTGGGGATTCCAGAAAGGTGTCCTGTCGGAGGGGACCTTGGAGCTAGGTCCTGAGGATGAGTTTGTCAAATGAAGAAGAGTATCCGGGGAGGAGGGAACGGCGGGAGGGAAAGCTGGGGGAGGGGGCGAGAAACAGGGAGAGTTCTGGGAACACAGGTAGGAATCGTCCCAGAAATTTGAACAAGATTTTACTAGGGCCAGGGCGTGGGTATCCCGGAACTCATCCCTCTCCGCCCCTGAGATGCTCTTGCTTCGCCTAAAAGCTACGAAGTGGCCAGATGGAAAATACGGGGCTGGA